AACCGTGGAAGGGTTCTTCTGGAGGTACCTGAAAAGGAAATTGGATTAGAGTTGGTCATTGTGACCTGAGAGCGTGACCGCAGTGCCCAAGGGACAGCTGCTTGAGGTCGGTCACACACGACCTTTTTATTAGTAATTTTTGTGTTAGCTCCGTACTTGTTGAGTCCTTACCGCCGGAGACGGATATCCGTGGGATAAGGCGAGGTGTGCATTTTTAGGGTCGACCTTTTCTAACCCCACCCCTCCTTGTGGGAAGGCAGCATCGCTGTCATGCTGGTTGTCTGAAGGAAACACCTTACTGCTGTCACACCTCTGTACAGTCAGCAGTACGACTTCGCCTTCGGACCTTGGTTTTGTTGCTTTTAGTCTTACCGCTCTTCAACCGACCTGTCTGGCATGGTAGGACCTTGAGGAACGGTTGTTCCAGCCAGTATAGCTCAGTTGCTTCATCACGATAGGCAAGCCCGACCACCACATCAAGGTAGCAACAACGGTCAGGCCGCACAGTCATCGCCAATGTACCACCTGGTGTCCTCCTTCTGCATCTCAAGCCTGGACTCAGATTGATCACATCGCGATCAGCTACCACTGGCGCGGTTGTGTACAAGACTGCCGCTCCTTTTGGAGTACCTATCTGGAATCTGATCATGCTCTAGTCTGCGCCAATCTTACCTTACTTTTCAGTAACCATCGAAGTGACCGCCACCAAAGGATTGATGTTAGCAAGCTGGCTGCAACTTCTGTTGCTAGTAAGTACCGAACCGAGCTAGCTTCTAGGCTAGCTACCATTCCACCGAGAAGTATAGGTGAGCATTGGTTGCAATTGCATGACGCCATCAAAATGGCGGGTAAAGTCTGTTGTGGGTTCGCGAAACATCCCGCTTATAAGCACTGGGTTTCTTCTGGTTCCTTACAACTCACTGAAGCCCGTCGGTCTACTCTGGGTGACCGTGAGTTTGACCACAGACGAAGGATGTTACGTAATGAAATTGGGCAAAGCTTGCGTAAGGACCGAGAAGCCTGGTGGTCGGAGCGTGCTAACGAGCTGGAAGCAGCAGCTGCATCTGGTAATTAACGGAAGCTCTTCCAACTCACCCGAGCCACTGGCAGCAAGAAGTCTGGTGTGAGCGAAACAATCAGCGAGGATGACGAAACACCAATCACTAACATCCATCGACGTCTTGGACGATGGGCAGTTCAATTGGCCTGTTGTTCCGGCAACATCGGTCAGACTGTCCTGCCCTCCATGGCTGGTGACGACTGATCCACCAAATGAGGCGGAAGTCTGCAAGGAACTCCAACTCTTGAAACGTTACAAATCACCGGGCCCAGACGACTTACCTCCGGCTCTTTTTAAAGATGGTGGTGACTTTCTGACTAAGGGACTGACGACGTTGTTTACAAAGATCTGGGAACTAGAGAGTGTACCAACGTCATGGAATGAATCGATAGTTGTCCCTATCTTTAAAAAGGGTTCACATCGTTTCTGTAACAACTATCGGGGGATAAGTCTACTTCCGATTGCGTCCAAGCTATTGGCTTCCGTCATACTTCGTAGGTTATTCAGAGCCCGAGAAGGATTGACTCGCGAGGAGCAGGCTGGGTTTCGTTCTGGTCGAGGATGTATTGATCATATCTTCACCCTCCGCCAAGTGTTAGAACATCGCCATACTTATCAAAGGCCAACAATCGCAGTGTTTCTTGACATCATGGCTGCCTTCGATTCGTTGGACAGAACTGTTCTCTGGGATTGTCTATTGAAGAAGGGTGTGCCTGAGAAGTTTATTAACATCCTAAAAGCCCTATACACAAACACCTCAGGCAGAGTGAGGGCATACAACCACCTTTCTGCACTATTCCATTCGAGCAGTGGGGTTAGGCAGAGTTGCCCAATCTCACCATTCCTCTTCAACATTGCCATCGATGACATTCTGGAAACAGCTCTGATGGACGTAAGTAATGGTGGTGTGGATCTGTTGCCTGGAGAAAGACTTCTCGACATTGAGTATGCGGATGATATTGTCTTACTGTGCGAGAATGCCCGAGCCATGCAATCCGCACTTAATCAGTTGGCAATCAGTGTCCGTAGGTATGGTATGTGCTTTGCACCCTCGAAGTGCTAAGTACTTCTACAAGACTGGCAGGATTCTAGTCCTGTACTCACTCTGGATGGTGAGCAGATAGAAGTCGTCGAGAAGTTCGTGTATCTAGGTAGCTGCATAAGTGCTGGTGGTGGCGTGAGTGATGAGATCAATGCACGTATAGTGAAAGCCAGAGCGGCTTATGCCAATCTGGGCCATCTTTGGCGCCTTCGTGATGTCAGTCTGGCTGTAAAAGGTCGGATCTACAACGCGACGGTGAGAGCAGTTTTACTCTATGCTTGTGAAACCTGGCCTCTCCGAGTTGAGGATGTTAGACGACTCTCTGTGTTCGATCATCGTTGTCTCCGAAGGATTGCTGGCATCCAGTGGCAACACCATGTCAGTAATGCAGAGGTTCGGCATCGTGTGTCCGGGCACAGAGACGATAACTCCATTGGTGTTACCATCTTGAAACACTGACTTCGGTGGCTTAGAGATGTTCTACGAATGTCGTCCCAGAGAATTCCACGTCGTGCATTATTTGCCGACTCTAGGACTGGTTAGAAAAAGCGGAGAGGTGGTCAGTATATGACGTGGTGTCGTGGTATGAAAGAAAGCTGCAAAGGGCTGGCTTGTGTTGTTCCTTTACGACTCCCTGGTTGGGGTCCGAGAGATGGTGTAACACAGTGGCTAGAAACGTTATCAGATATGGCTCAGAATAGAAGCCAGTGGCGATCCTGCTATAACCTTCTTTTAATTTCTTCATAAAAAGTGTTTGTATCTTCCCTAACTGAAAGATCTCTTCTGATTGTACCTTTCCGTTTTCCCCATCATTGTTCTCTCTCTCTCTTTTTTTTATAATTCCCCACGTTCATTACTTTTTTTTCCTCTTTTCTCCTTCTCTTCAAATTATCATTGTTTTGTGTGGAGCATATATATTTGGTGCCCCCCTGTACCAATATTTATGTGTTCAAATAAATAAATAAATAAATAATAATTCAGGATCAGTGTAGCACACAAACCAACAAAATCACTACAGTCAATCCTACGCAAACTAAAGGACGAAATGACAAAAAAAGGAAAACCGAACATCATCTAAAAAACAAATTGTGCCAACTGAGATAAACACTACATCAGACGAAAAGGACGCCCTCTTCATCTTCGCCCGCATGAACATGAATTAAAAGTTAAACTCCATGACGTATCCTCACTTATATCAATGCATGTGGACGCACATACGACTGGAAAAATGTGGAGATCTTGGATAGAAGCAATTCCAAAAACACCAGAGAATTTTAGAAGCTTGGCACTCAGGTCAATCAGCAAACGATAAGCACATTGAAATCAATCCAATTTATCAACCAGTCAGAAAAATTATGGACCAACATAGGACCAAAAATCAAATCAATCGGAGATACAACCAAAATAAAGAAATAAACAATGACAGATTTAAGGTCAACAATAGCTAATCAACATCGAGGTCTACAGGACAAGCTGTGAGCCATATGTGGAAAAATTCCCTTCACTTCTACTTGAAGTTTGTGCTAATGAGGTCGTTCAGACGAACAATGAAAGCTCCACGACAAAACCATCCAGCTCAGAGAACAAAACTCCATCAAAATCATCCACCTGAACTACAAATTTTCTCCACCATCTTGATATCAGTTAAATTAGAAGCTTACGTCAATGATCCGGTCTCGTGAGTCACTGTCACACGATTACATTGTACCACCAAATAGTACCGATCGATAAGCACATCTCATTTATTAATTTAATATTCCACAAAAACTTCTTGTAAACAAGATTCTCTTAAAATCTCAATTTATAATAGACGTTTTTATCAGAGTTTCGATAAATTTATATTAACAAAATTTACTGCTCCAATTTTAGGAAGTAATTATTAAAATAAAAAATTACAGTTTCGAAAATTACTCTTCACTGAATTATGTAACATGTAATATATATTCCTTTTCATTTTTAAACAACCTTTATGAATTTATTTTCTGTAATAAAATACAATTTAGAATTAATACAAAACTTTGAATAATTTATCGCCCACTACTCAGAAATATTATCGATTTAAATAGTCATATACATTGTTGCATGTGGTTTTCATTAAATGAAACATTTAAATTTATTTTAATATAAAAGATAAAATGAATATAAATTTTAACATTTTCTGGTAGAAAATAGATTTGTTCTTATTTTATTGATTTACTTTGTGGTTTAAAATGAACTTTTTTACAACATGAAATAGATATCTTACAGATCTATTTTATTACATAACAAGATATTCAGATGTGGAAAATAAAATAACATGTGAATTTATCCATAATATTATGATTGGTCTTGTTTCATATTATTCACTAATAGACGTTAGGAATAACTCAGTTAATAAGAATTGATAAAGTCCCTAAACTTTCTACTAGAATGAAACGAAAAATTTTCAAAATTCGCTTATATGTCAATTTTGATCAAATTTCAGTTAAAAATATAAACAACACGATAATTCAAACCATTTTAAATTGAATAATGGGGCTAGTTGATTGTGATTGGTTGATAAAATGATATTTTGTTTCGTCCAGTTAATTTTTATTCTAATGACCTTGAATAAAACTAGTATAAAATGAGTATTATTTTGAATCTTATAACCTATTACTTCAGAGTGTCAATGAAGAGTCTTGGTAGATCCTGATTACTTGCTATATATATATATATATATATATATATATATATATATATATATATATATATATATATATATATATATATATAGATTGTGATCATCTGACTTCATATCGCGTTATAACTTGTATGCCAAATTATAAAAAATTCCTTGCAGAAAAAAGATAATTTCTACCAATAAACTTTTTCCATGTGACTTTTACGAGTGGAAAAATAAATGTCAAGGTAACTTACTTTATTTAACATATGGTGTCTAGCATAGAATTTAACACGAACATCTCCAAATAATAGAATATCTTGCTTCGGTTTTATAAGAACTTCATTTTGATGCATCGGTTCTGAAGATAATGTTGCACAATTTTGTTCAAACACATGAGATGAATCAAATGTATACAATTGTAGATCTAACAATAGGCCTGAGAAGTAGGATAAAAAACGAAAAAGTAAACAAAAGAAAAAAACAATACAGTACGAGTGATTAAAATGTATAATTCTTGAGAGGTGTTCAATATAATTAATCAAAGCGAAGGTAAATGTTCACTTGTTTCGCTTAAAATATAGTTTTTGACAATCGACATAATTAATATGAAATATTTTGACGAAAGACAACTTTATGAAATAACAGAAAGTATTATGTACTTGGTAAAGAATGCATGATATTGAGTTATAATAGCTAATATGTTTAACTGAAAACAAAATATGATACCATTTCGTTGCAAACACTTTTAAAGTTAAAAAAATATACTATTAACGAACCTTTTTTATCAGCAAATCTTTTTTTCAAGTAGATAATGATAACGTCTCGCCAAATTACTGCAGAGCTAATAAACTGATTATGGCCAATATGTGTTAATGAACGATAAGCATTTCGTTAAAAATAACTATGGAGCTGATATAACGTCAAAAAAGTTGGGAGACATAACTACAGTAACTAGTGCTGAACAAAAAAGTTTAGATTCGGGAGAGATGCTGCTGTACTCTGGTTATAAAGAAGAAAATCCCTACCACACACAAGGAGTTGCACTAATAATATTCAAAGAGGCACGAAAAGAATTTATAGGATAGGAATCTCATAGATCCAGAATCATCAAAGCATTCCTCAAAACGAAGATCACAATGAATGTCATCCAGTTTTATGCGCCTACCAACGACAGCAACGAAAACGATAAAGATCGGTTCAATAAGAGGCTGCAGTTGGTAGTAGAGAAGTGCACAGGAAAGGACCTGACAATCTTTATGGAAGACCTGAACGCCAAAATCGGAATGGACAAAACCGGGTATGAAGATACCAAGGGATGATATGGAATGGGAGAAAAGAACGAGAATGGTGAGAGATTCGGAAACTTATATGCCCTAAACAAAATAGTTACAGACGGCATACACATGCTACATGGGTTTCACTGGATCACAAATAGCAGGAGTTGCTTTGTTCCAAGAGGCACCAGGATAAAAAGTGGATCTCTATACGTGCCCTGGGCAAGATTAGAGAAAGAACGAAAAGGCATAAGTGAATGACAGCTGGACTAGAGCAGAGAAAGACAGAGCGAAAGCCGAATGCACAGAAGCAAACAAGCAAGTGGGGAGGAGCATTAGAGCTGACAAGCAGAAATACGTGAAAGATCAAGCAACCACAGCGGAAAACGCTGCAACAGAAGAAATTATGAGATGACTATATGAATCAACGAAAAAACTAGCAAGGAAATATGGTAAACCAGAGAGATCAGTCAAGGTCAAAGAACGCAAGTCAACCACTGAGATTCAATAACAGAATGACAGATGGGCAGAACATTTTGAGGAACTCTTGAACAGACCAGCTCCATTGAATTCACCAGACATCGAAACAGCACCCACATACCTTCCAATGGCTGTTAATTCACCGATGATCGAAAAAATCAGGATAGATATCAGACAAATCAAGAGTGGGAAAGCGGTAGGACCTGAGAATATGCCACGTGAAGCATTGAAGTCACACGTAGCAGCAACTGCAGATATGCTCCACGTTCTATCCATGAAGATTTGAAAGGAAGAACAAGCGTCGATAGACTGGAAAAAGGACATCTCATCCAGATACCAAAGAAAGGAGATCTGAGCAAATATGAAAACCACAGAGGCATCACACTATTATCAGTACCAGGAAAGGTTTTCCACAGAATGTTGCTGAGCTGGATGAACGATTCAGTAGACGTACAGCTTCCAGATCAACAGACCGGAATTCGTAAGGATCGGTCGTGCACAGACCACATCGTGGCACTACGAGTCATCATCGAACAGCCAATTGAATGCAACTCGTCACTATACTACATTTACTCTACCCCTTTTGCTTTCTTCTAATTGTCGACTGGATTATGAAGACCTCAACATCCAAGAAAAAGCACGGAATAAAGTGGAGAGCTTTGATGTAACTAGACGATTTGGACTTTGCATATGATATAGCTTTTCTATCCCGTAAACACCAATAAACGCAGATCAAGACAACCATTGTCGCAGAAGCCTCTGTATCAGTAGGTCTCAACATACACAAGGGAAAAATCAACATCCTCAACTACAACACGATGAACACCAAACCAGTAACACTTGATGGAGCTGACACGGCATAAAAGACATTGGGAATAAGAACCTACTGATTTACCTATCACATGAAACCTCCGTCGCCGATGCCATGTACTTGATGTGTCTTTCCTTTGACACTATCATTATCTATTCATGCTGGTAAAATCTTTCCTTATCAACCATGAGCTTTATAAACAAGTATATCAAGATATTTCGTACAAAGCTTTTTATATGAAGATAAAAATTATTTACTTTTAAATTTCATGCTGAAACCCAAAAATTACTTTCTGGATTGGCATTAGTTTAGCTTTAGTGTATAGGTGCACTTATAATTCAGAACGAAGAAAAGTCCATAGTTTTCTCAGTGTGAAAATGATTAAGCTATAAAGTCATATGAACAAATTCTACATCAACAAGCTATCTATGCTGGAGGGCAGAAAGAATATAATTGTATACAGTGTATTATGTTGGTGTTTAAAAAACAGAGCAGTTAAAAATATTTTATAACTTGTAAAAATTATTATGCAAGAATAGAAAAGCATGTTACATAATAAAAAGAACGTTCGACATTATTGGTGGTTAAATGGTTTAGTGATTGTAGCGAAAACATAAAAAACTACACTGCAACTTAGATTGCCTCGTACACTCAGTTTCCTAATCTAAGAACAAAGTGTGGCACAATGGACTGGTGGTTTCATCACCTACATTTTAATCATAAAGGCCTCTGGTTCGAAACGCCCCCTGCACCTATTTCACTTTGAGCACCCGGGTAGTATTATTAATAACCATGTAAATGGGTTGTGGTTTAAAGTCGAGTGTACAAGTATGTATTTGATAATCGATTTATAATCAAAACTGATAAGAAATCGTAATGTTATGTATTATGTGCTTATACAACACGTCAGAAATCAGGATGAAAGGCTACACAGTTTACTGTATGAATAATAAAATATGTTTGTTTTCGATCAGTAGCCACTAGAACTGCAATATTTATTACATAAGAGAGATAAGCATACGGGTATGATGTAGTGCATATATAGAGAAATGTTACGAGTTTAAGTCATATCAAAAAGTTAGTGACTGAAATAATTAATCTATGGAGAGAAAAAAATTACACTACCTGGTAAATACTGTAATCCACAAACACGTACAGCTGTTAAGAAAAGAGGGATTCTGTGATACTCTAGATTATTTTTTAAGAATAAATCATAATAATGTACATAACGCCGTTGACTCGGTATTGTTACACCTTTACCATTGTCAGTTCGTTGTTCACCATAGAATCTTAGTGATTCCTCTGCATTCATAACATCATGTAGTCGAAGAAGGCATGCACAGACCATAACACCAGTTCTCCCCTATTAAGATATTGTGATAAAAATTTAATATAAAAATACATCACTCAATTATAGATAAATGGCATTATTGATAGTAATATGTAAGAGCTTACAACATTTTGTGTAGGTTTTATTCTTTTTGTTTTTATAACTAACAACAGAAATTAAAGAAGTGTATTGGAACTGCTGCCTATTCAAATGATACAATATTTACGAGAATTTGAGAGGGAATACATAAACAAATGCTTATTTGAAACCACGATAAACACGAAAATACACACCGACAGATTAAGAGTTAATAAGAAAACTGTTTATCATTCCTGAGGACTTTATTGAATATAATCTCTTCAGAGATAATAATATTAACTCGATGCTCGAAGTGACTAAACCATTTAACCGCATTTCCCATCATCTCTAAACAAACAGGTTTTCAAAAGAATATCTAAACTGATAATTCATTATGAACTCTAACACAACAACAGTTAATGTAATTTTATTACTCAATACTACATTTCATGACACTCTTCAAACCAGAAATTACACTCCAACTTCTTCAAATGGAGATATATGCTTGGTGCGAACTGATAACAAAATCTAAGTGTGTTTTTTCAGTAATTCAGTAGTAACTCAGTCCAACACTGATCTTAGTATACTGGCACATTATTCAGCTTAGTGATCATGTTGTAGCATCGTATAATAAAATTTAATAACCACTGACAATGAGATCTGACACTTTACTATTACTTCACGGAATACTATGATCAAAGAGTTAATGAAGGAAGATTTATATTTAATCTAAATAGAAACATTATTTTTAAAAATGTATGAATACAAAAGCTACATATTATTATCAAATAATTTCAAACAGAATTATGAACATGATGACCTTAACAAATTATGTGCCCCCAAATGCCCTGGTATGGCCGAGAGTGGGGTGGGTTCCCCCCCCTCGAAATACTCTCACATGGCCACGCGTATATAGCCTCTGCCAGGGAAGTCCTACTTACTGCCTTCTCGTGACGGGAGTGCTTTTTACGAAAATGAGAGGACGAAAAGTGAATGTCCGGCGCTATAACTGGATCACAAAAAAATGGTGGACATGGGCTCCTGTATCCTGAAGGAACAAATGGCGTATGAACCAATTTTTTGGCCACCGGTTTCCATGGGACTACGTCTCCTCACGATGCTACACTGTCTTGTGAGTTTAACCTTTAGGTCGAAGGCTCGGGGTATGGCTCCCTAAGAAAACCACCTGCTTCGGTCTGGGCACCCGGGCAGTATCTCAGCTCACACACCAAAACATGATGAATGTGATGAACTGTCTACTTATGAAAAATATTCTTCTCGCTACGATTATCAATCGAATGACTCGCATTATTATTATCATTACTATTATTGTTATTATTATTATTTACCAAGTCATTTACTCACTCTCCTTCATCCCCACCCTGTCTATCCTTATTTTTCGACTTATACAGCAGCTCGCCAATGGTGGAAATTCGGCTCTATCTAAACGTTCTCGAGTCACTGCCTGGTTGAAAATTGTATGTTACTACCGAATATGAGTACTGAAGCAGTTTTTCTGAAACCACGTGCACCATTCAAACTGGCTGCCTTCAACGTTCGCACAATTATGCAGGTCGGACAACAGATAGGGTTGGTTATGTCTTTGGAAAGTCATAATATTGACGTCTGTTGTCTATCCGAGACCCGTATTCAAGACTCTGGTGAAGTACTACAAGTTCGCTCTCCATCTGTCGCTTCAAAAAGCTTGTTTTACGTGTGTTTATCCGGGGACCCTGTGGCATCTTCGTCTGGTCTTGCTGGCGTTGGTGTCGCACTAAGCACTAGAGCTGAGGCAGCACTAATCGATTAGGTCCCCATTAACATTCGGTTATGTGTTGTCAGACTAGAAAGTACCATCAAAGTGAGAAGAAACCGGCGTGAAAAGCGATGTCTTTTCGTCATCTCCGCCTATGCTCCGACAGATTGCAGCCCTGATACAATCAAGGATGAATTCTACAACCAGCTAACTGTTCTTCTCCAGAAAGTGCGTTCGACAGATATTGTAGTACTAGCCGGAGACTTGGATGCTCAGGTCGGGAGTGTAGGCACGGAAGAGAGTCGTTTAGGCGGCCGATGGGGACTTGGTCGCAGGACAGATAACGGGGAACATCTACTGCAAATACGCACAGGCTAAAACCTGTTTCTGGCTAGCACTGACTTTCCGCACAGTCATCGCCAATGTACCACCTGGTGTCCTCCTTCTGCATCTCAAGCCTGGACTCAGATTGATCACATCGCGATCAGCTACCACTGGCGCGGTTGTGTACAAGACTGCCGCTCCTTTTGGAGTACCTATCTGGAATCTGATCATGCTCTAGTCTGCGCCAATCTTACCTTACTTTTCAGTAACCATCGAAGTGACCGCCACCAAAGGATTGATGTTAGCAAGCTGGCTGCAACTTCTGTTGCTAGTAAGTACCGAACCGAGCTAGCTTCTAGGCTAGCTACCATTCCACCGAAAAGCATAGATGAGCATTGGTTGCAATTGCATGACGCCATCAAAATGGCGGGTAAAGTCTGTTGTGGGTTCGCGAAACATCCCGCTTATAAGCACTGGGTTTCTTCTGGTTCCTTACAACTCACTGAAGCCCGTCGGTCTACTCTGGGTGACCGTGAGTTTGACCACAGACGAAGGATGTTACGTAATGAAATTGGGCAAAGCTTGCGTAAGGACCGAGAAGCCTGGTAGTCGGAGCGTGCTAACGAGCTGGAAGCAGCAGCTGCATCTGGTAATTAACGGAAGCTCTTCCAACTCACCCGAGCCACTGGCAGCAAGACGTCTGGTGTGAGAGAAGCAATCTGCGAGGATGACGGAACACCAATCACTAACAACCATCGACGTCTTGGATGATGGGCAGAATTTTTCGAAGGGCAGTTCAGCTGGCCTGCTGCTACGGCAACATCGGTCAAACTGTCCTGCCCTCCATGGCTGGTGACGACTGATCCACCGATTGAGGCGGAAGTCCGCAAGGAACTCTGGTCGAGGATGTATCGATCATATCTTCACCCTCCGCCAAATGTTAGAACACCGCCATACTTATCAAAGGCCAACAATCGCAGTGTTTCTTGACATCATGGCTGCCTTCGATTCGTTGGACAGAACTGTTCTCTGGGATTGTCTATTGAAGAAGGGTGTGCCTGAGAAGTTTATTAACATCCTAAAAGCCCTATACACAAACACCTCAGGCAGAGTGAGGGCATACAACCACCTTTCTGCACTATTCCATTCGAGCAGTGGGGTTAGGCAGAGTTGCCCAATCTCACCATTCCTCTTCAACATTGCCATCGATGACATTCTGGAAACAGCTCTGATGGACGTAAGTAATGGTGGTGTGGATCTGTTGCCTGGAGAAAGACTTCTCGACATTGAGTATGCGGATGATATTGTCTTACTGTGCGAGAATGCCCGAGCCATGCAATCCGCACTTAATCAGTTGGCAATCAGTGTCCGTAGGTATGGTATGTGCTTTGCACCCTCGAAGTGCTAAGTACTTCTACAAGACTGGCAGGATTCTAGTCCTGTACTCACTCTGGATGGTGAGCAGATAGAAGTCGTCGAGAAGTTCGTGTATCTAGGTAGCTGCATAAGTGCTGGTGGTGGCGTGAGTGATGAGATCAATGCACGTATAGTGAAAGCCAGAGCGGCTTATGCCAATCTGGGCCATCTTTGGCGCCTTCGTGATGTCAGTCTGGCTGTAAAAGGTCGGATCTACAACGCGACGGTGAGAGCAGTTTTACTCTATGCTTGTGAAACCTGGCCTCTCCGAGTTGAGGATGTTAGACGACTCTCTGTGTTCGATCATCGTTGTCTCCGAAGGATTGCTGGCATCCAGTGGCAACACCATGTCAGTAATGCAGAGGTTCGGCATCGTGTGTCCGGGCACAGAGACGATAACTCCATTGGTGTTACCATCTTGAAACACTGACTTCGGTGGCTTAGAGATGTTCTACGAATGTCGTCCCAGAGAATTCCACGTCGTGCATTATTTGCCGACTCTAGGACTGGTTAGAAAAAGCGGAGAGGTGGTCAGTATATGACGTGGTGTCGTGGTATGAAAGAAAGCTGCAAAGGGCTGGCTTGTGTTGGTCCTTTACGACTCCCTGGTTGGGGTCCGAGAGATGGTGTAACACAGTGGCTAGAAACGTTATCAGATATGGCTCAGAATAGAAGCCAGTGGCGATCCTGCTATAACCTTCTTTTAATTTCTTCATAAAAAGTGTTTGTATCTTCCCTAACTGAAAGATTTTTTCTGATTTTACCTTTTCGTTTCCCCCATTATTACTACTATTACACTACCTCACAATACTTCGTTCGTTATTGTCCTTTTTTTACGCTCCTTACCATCCTTTCTTTTTTTCCTTTCTCTTTAAATTCTCATTGTTTTGTGTTGCGCATATATATTTGATGCCCCCTTTTACCAATATTTATGTGTTCAAATAAATAAAAATAATAATAACAAATTATGTATAAATAAAACAAAAAAATGACATGATTTAAAGAATTATCAGTATTACTTTACATTACGACTTCAAACTTCTTAACTGGTTATAACTAGTAAATTTTTTGCAGAAGTTGCATCACAAACTTATGTTAACGGCTATTTAGCCGGGTCTGATTAAGAAGCCCATACATAGTTCAAATCAAACATTAGTAATTTAGTGGTTTTATGCATCATCTTCATTAGACAACTTTGTTAACGAATTCGTATGCTTTTAAGAATAGCATATCTGTTCACAATTGGTGAGTCATGAACTGAATGTATACAGTTGAGAATAGATGTTAAAGATGATTCTTATAACATTTGAACAGCTATTACTGAAAAAGAAAAACTGACCACAATTTTCTAGGTCCTGAACACTTATTTCAAATAATATAATAAACATTTGTTTTCTCTATTCTTATTAACTCAAGGAAATATTTGATAAATAATTATCTCAAAATATTTAGTTAGGCAGTAGCAAGTTATGTTTCTAATCTGATAGATTAAAATATTTACAGATTTAAAAATAGTTATAAAGTACAGCTTGTGTGCAGGAGTAAACCGCCAGCAGTTTAACTGCCAATCATAAACTGGAACAACAAGTCGCCTAACTTCCAGTTTAGATATTCAACAAATGAAATAAAACAAACTGCAACCAATGTGTAGATTAAAAATATGAACATAATTATTCAATAATACATAAAAGGTTATGCTTATTAAATAAAATCTAATTAATCCAACCGACTTACAAAGTACGGATTTACGTATACATTGAGCCGTACTTTGTGTGTGAGTTGGCTATTGATACTATTTAATTGTCTAAATCAAAGTATACAGAGCTCAACAACTACTACATATTTTGATCAAGGTTGAGACTGTTCCACTGGACGCCGAGTCCAGTGCTTTTAGTGGTTAGGCGTTCGCCGACTGATACAAAGGTCATGGGTTATATTCTTTTCAGTAAGATAGTGGATGAGCACTGCTGGAGAGCTCTACACTAGGACGGAAAATTTGCTCAGCGGTCCTTAGTTTTCGGTGGTACCCCAAATACGATCGATGTGTGGCGAATAATACCTACGCATTACAGAGTTGCTTGATAGAAGTTATACTTCCCATTTTCTGCATAGTAAAGTGAGTCTAAACTTGTAACTTTTTGAAAATAACATTTTCATAAACACTTCCCAAAAACGATATGAACAAAATATATGGTGAATTTGTTTGATAATATCACAGTTCAAACAAAATTTGATATATACCAAATATATAAATAAGCCTAGGTGATTTACCTTTCCAGCTTTACAATTAATTGCAACGACATTTTTAGGATCTTGACTAAGAAATTCATTTACATCTTCACACAAAGCAATGATTTGTTCAAACTGAGGAGCGTTATGGTCAGAAAATGGGTATTTTGCTACTGGACCATCAAATCGACAAACGTTAAAATCTCTTTCATCGCATCTATATAATTATGTATAAAAAAAGAAGTGTAAATAATAAATTAATTTCACTTCAGAAAACGTTACAAAATAGCCACATATGGACTTTTCGAAAATTTAGTAGGATACTTTAATTTATGAACTTTAATGGTAGAATGTATGTCATTAATGAAATCAATAATTCTTAACATTAAAATATAGGGAAGAAATTTGTTGGTGGATTACTATAATACTTAACGATAATGATCTTAGGAATAACTTTTAAAAATGTAGCTGTTCATTTATATAAAATAAAACGAAAATTAAGTCCTACATATATTAACATACTAACATGACTACAAAAACGCATAAAATTTGATATATATATATATATATATATATATATATATATATATATATATATATATATATATATGATTAAACAGAAATTCAACCAGTTATTCATAAACAACACAAGATCTAGCACAACTCACAATAAAACACCAAGGAGAAAGCAAAAAGAAAAAAACTACTAACATGAGGTAAAGAGAAGTACGAAACACTAAAAACCAAGACTTAGATAAGAAAAGGAATGGATAGATCTGAATGACTGTAACCGACTATGAACTATCTAGAATCTAGAAATAAGATAAAGAAACGCTATTACTAAACAAATATCTCCTCAACTTTACCCAGAAATTGTGATGGGCATTTAACTAATAGTACCTTTGATGATACTGATCCTGTGACGTGTTATAACATACTGCTAAGAAAAAATCCATAACCAACAGAGTACTTCCACAAATGCAAAAATGTTAAGACTCAAAAACTGAAGATCAAGACGGTGTTGAAACTCACAAGCTCGTTTTTAAACAAATTTGTAGTCTAAAAGATTTTATAAATCTGAATCCACAAAGTAATATGGTTTGTTCGATCTCGCCCACTATAGTTAAGAAGTCAAATGAACAAATCAAAATAACCAGTCATGATAAAAAGATCCACGGAGAAATGAAGTATGGATTCCGAAAACATGTTTCAGTCCATAACACTTAATAAACTGGCACCTTCATATACTCAAGTATATGAAAGCTACCTATCCATATACACATAATCCTTGCACAAATTGTCAAGCATTACAACTTTTGCTTCACGTTTCTTTAGGTTAAACGTGCTTCGAAAATGTCCCAATTCTCAATAGATTCTGTAATTGGAAATAAGGTAAGAAGCGAAACTATTTCACCATGAAACATAAATGAAGAGCTAACCAATAAAAATGACAAAACGACCATTAGGACTACTAAGAAGCAGGAGCTAATGAGCAACTATTCTTCTTGATACTGATTTTTCAAAAACTAATCTCCTTATCTCTCTTTCATATTCTAATTTCCAAACATTCAATTTTTATAATGAGAAATCCTATGTTAAACTTTAAATCGTATGAACGTAGCTAATGTTAATCATTATAATCCAGAAAGTTAGTTAAACCTATGGTGGGATGAGAAAAACAGCATGATATTTATTCATTCTCAATAATTCATCCGGAAGGATGGAACTCGATAATAAGGACAATGTTCAAATTATTCAAGTTCCTGAAACTATCAACGTGAATATAAGTAGCTACATTAATGTGGAGATTTCATCATAAAAAATGCTTTTATCCATTGTTTATATACATGGTAACAGGTTAAACTAATAACAAAAGGGATGAACACTTAGACTTAAATAGTCATTCAGTCATGCACGACCGAGATCCTAGATAATATGTGCATCTTTTCAATTCGACATACCACATTATTACAGAGATGAGGAAATTAAGACAAATACGAGAGTAGAGGCACTAGTATTATTGGTAGTGGAAGAGAAGACAGACGATATGACTCGAGAAAGAATGAGTTCATGATATATATATATATATATATATATATATATATATATATATATATATATATATATATATATATATATATATATGATAATTTTTGAACTCAAGATCTAAGAGAAGACAAGGAGTGAATTTCTTCCGAATAACTCAAAAATGATGAGTACTGAATTTATACAAACAACGCAAAAACGCGGTTGACAAATATCAAAATGAACTCGCTTTTAAACATGACTGATGAGTGGCCTATGTACAGTTAGCCTTGATAAAGTAACTCTGGCCATCAGCCTTTTAAATTTACTGTAAACTTGTTAGGAGTTGTTTACTGAATCATAGGTTAAATTACAATCCAATTGTTTTAGTATATACAACCCAAAAGTTTTATACTAGAATTTACTCATAATAAATAACATATGTATGGTCATTAATAAACTGACTCGATATTTAAGGAAAGTACGTTTTAACAGAAATCAACTTACAAGTGATAGATTTTGTAGTGGTTTGCATGTCGTGTTTGTAGAAAGCGTACAACATCATCAATATGATTACGATAAACACCCTCAAGTTTAACAGCAGGGAATCCCATTGCAATAATTCTGCTGGAGATATAACTCAAATCTAAATCAAATCCATCTTGTTGAAAACGCTTCTTATGACGACTAACAAGACCTTTTAGCGTTTTCGGCATAGTTTATGTTACCGAGAGGAGATGGTAGACGTATCTCCTTTAATTCTTGTGAAGAGAAATCCGAGAGTAATTCACTTGTCGTCAACACTACAGTAGGCTCTTTAAAGGAAGAATATTTACATAAGAACATTGTGTGGACATAATTGGAACCATAAACTTTGTCTACAATGTAAAAAGTAAATATAACAAAAACTATGGAGCACATTATAAGAGACAAGTGACAATCTGCGCAGTTGTACATCTTAATTGATACAAAAAGCTATTTTGCTTGGTTCTCTGAGTTGAAATCGGAGTTTAATTAATGTGAGCCCCCAAATGCCCTGGTATGGCCGAGAGTGAGGATAGTCCGCTTTCCCTCTCGAAATACTCTCACATGGCCACGAATATATAGCCTCTGCCAGGGAAGTCCTACTCACTGCCTTCTCGTGACGGGGGTGTTGTTTACGAAAATGAGAGGACGAAAAGTGAATGTCCGGCGCTTCAACCGGATCTCAAACCAATGGTGCACATGGGCTCCAGTATCCTGAAGGAACAAATGGCGTATGAACCAATCGTTGGTCACCGGCTACCATGAGACTGCATCTCCTTACGATGCTCCACGGCCTTGTGGATCAGACGTTCAGGTCGAAGGCTCGGGTGTGGCCCCCTAAGAAAACCACCTGCTTCGGTTTGGGCACCCGAGCAGTATCACAGCCCTCACACATATCAAGTGAGATCTGTGTGGCGCATATGTATTTCGTGCCTCCTTGTACCAATATCTATGTGTTAAAATAAAATAAATAAAAATACGCTGTACGAATGCAAGCAGCTCAGCGTTATGCGGAGATATCTTTCTGTGGTAGGCTGCAAGCTAGTATATCAGCCATAAAAAGGTGGTCGTATTCTTCCTTAACTGAAAGATCTGTTCTGATTGTACCTTTCCGTTTCCCCCACCATTGTTCTCTCTCTCTCTCTCTTCTTTTTTTTTTATAATTCCCCACGTTCATTACTTTTTTTTTTTCTTCTCTTTTCTCCTTCTCTTCTAATTATCACTGTTTTGTGTGGCGCATATATATTTGGTGCCCCCCTGTACCAATATTTATGTGTTCAAATAAATATAAATAATAAATAAAAAAATCAGCCATTATTTTACAAACGTTTGTTAAGTTCGACCCCGGAAAACAACTAATTATACTTAAGAACACTAAATCAACTTTGTTTAAGCCGAATAATGTAATAATAGTACACTGAAAGCCTGGGCTAGTCACTGATATAAGGGAAAACGGATTAATGAAATTTAGACCAATCATAGACACACGTGATTATTTCGCTGAACCATTCCCTTCTAGCGACAAAGGAATACTTATGTGCTCAGTAGTTAGGCATGAGCACAAATAGGTTTCCATCAAGAATGTTGATTGTGAATGGATTGGTGTTATCTGTGCTAATAATGTAATAAATGTTCCATTGCTACATACGTTCATGTGAATATATTTTCTAATTCTTACCAATTGTATTACATTAAGTCATTTCCTTACCTTTTATATGCTGTTTAGCCGACTAATAAGCAGTTCCTACCTATCGACGCACCAAGCAGGAGGAAGGTTCTAATTGCAGCTAAACTATAGGTTGTGAGTAAAGAACTTTGTGCCTATCCTATGGACATTATGGATATACACCTGCAGAATATTACCCAACCACATGACAATTGGTCAATCTTGAAGTGCAAGGTCATCCACTACTGTGGTAAGTTAATAACACAAAAACGATCATTTCCTATAGTTTCCAGACTGAAAAACATTTATTGGCTTCGCTCAACAACTTGGCTGGTTACCGTATCAGCAGTTCTACGGACGAAAACACCTTACCACTAAACGAAGAGAAGCCAAAGAGGTTAGTACAGTAACCCTATTAATATTTCGTAGTTCATCGAAACGAAAAGAAGGGCTTCTGTACAATTCCGTTGACATGGGAGTGGCCGATATACAAACTGGAAACAGCAACGTTCAATATACTAAATTTCGGTTGCTGGACACTTTTGTTTCACCAATCGCCAAGTACGCACGTTTTCTTTAAAAATGTTAACAGTATTTCGATACAGTTGGATGTGTCACCCTCAATGTCCGAGTCTAGGCGTGTAGGTAATGCGTTAGCGGCCGAGTAAATCACGTGTCCGATTAAAGTAAATGCTTAAGATTGGATAAACTGCATGATGTATAGCAGAACACATCATCAGCTATATCAGACTTGAGTGCGAACATTATGCAACTAGTGACTAAGTCTGATGGGCATAGACGTACACGGAAATTTAATATTGGAATATCAAGTTTGCATTTCCCTTTTTCATCTGAAAAGGAACTGTGAACGTTGGACTCATGTCTCCGGCAAGAAGAAAAGAGGGACAAATTTATAAATAAACAAAACTTATTGGATTATTTATTCCCGTTTCAGTTGGCCATGCTAGCGCAGTTAATGGATGATGATCCGAAAACATCCATGCGCTATATTTTGTCACGCATCATGAAACCTGAGGTTGCCAGCCATTTCACATTAGTTGGCATTTCATCGAAAAGAGCACTCCGGAAGTGCAGGTTTTATGGCTGCATACGAAAAAAAAATTTTTTTTCTAATAATTAGGCGCACTAACACCTCAACTCTTGTTTTTATCCATCAACGAAAAACAACTTGCCAAGCTGTATTTTCACGAAGTGAGACAAAATACAAAAGAGTCATCGGAAAAAACAAGAACATGCACGTACTAATTTGAAGTTATAACTATTCATTGCTGTTTTATAGGTGGTGTTCAGTATTAAGGAACACAATTGTAAGTCATACTTCAGGTCGAAAGTTGTTAGACAAATTACGGCAGTTTGGCATTGTTGTAAATTTTCGCGTTCATTAAATTTCACAATCTTGACAGTGGTATCCTATTTCGGAGAGGCCTATCATGCTTGACAAATCTCATTGCAAGAGAAGATTAGGCTGCTGCAAAAGATCGGAATATTCCTGTAGATGTGATCTTCATAGATCTAAGTAAAGCCTTCGATGAGGTCTCCCATTCTAGTCTTAAATTCAAACTGGAACGTTTTGGAATTCATTATACAGTCGTAGATTGGATAAGTAACTTTCTCCATGACACGAGACAAAGGGTAAGGGTTAATGAAGCTCTCTCCTTGTGGGTACCTGTAAAAAGTGGAGATCCCCAAGGTAAAATCCTCGGTCCTCTTCTCTTTTTACTTTATGTAAATGAATTACCAACTGTAGCAAAATCGCCCGTTCTACTCTTCGCTGATGACATAAAAATTTGGAGACCCATACACAGTATGTCGGATAGGATAGTATTACAGAATGATCTTAGCTCATTGGTGGCATGGTTGGACAGGTGATCACTAGAAGTAAATCCTAATAAAAGTGTGGTGATGCAATTAAATAACAATGATGATTCGTGTCACTACAAAATATGTGGATTCGTGCTACTCAAAGTAAGAAACTATAAAGATTTAGGAGTCATATTAAGCAGTGATCTCAAAACCATTAGTCACTGTAAGGCTGCTGCTGCAAAAAGCTATAGGGTATTGTGGTCTATTTGTGGGTCTTTCCAGTATTTAGATGATGAAATGTTTAGATTATTGTATCCGATTTACGTGCGACCACATTTAGAATATGGGATTCAAGTAGCGAGTCCTTGTTCCAAGTATGAAGCAGATATGCTGGAAAGAGTCCAACGACGAGGTACTAAGATGGTGCAAGGTTTATCTGGCTTATCTTATGAAGACAAACTGAGATGCCTTAACTTATTTCCGTTATTTTACCGTAGAGTACGGGGTGATTTAATATTGGCTTATCGTATACTGAATGATGACCTCGGTATTAACATGTCTTATCTTTTACCTCCGTATAGGAGTGACCATTTGAGAGGACGTTCGAAGAAAGTCCAAAAACTGTGATCAAATCGTTTACATCTGGAGTTTCGTTTCTCGCACCGAGTAGTGAATTACTGGAATTTTCTACCGGAACACGTAATATCAGCACCTTCTGCTGATGTATTCAAAACGAGATTGGACCTCCACAGTATTACAACCTGCAAGGATTAATATAGGTCGACAGACCTATCCTTATTATTGAAGACTGAAGAATTCACAGGGAGATAATTTCAGTTCGTAATAGCAACACTACAGTTAAAGAAAGACTTCATTCAAATATCGTTTATGTTTAACTTAATTACCAACAAAGCCTTTTCTAACATGTGCCGAATTTCTGACTTTCGTGTGAAATTCATGAACTAATGGAGTGTTTGTTGCGAAAGCCTGTTTGCTTTAATATACACTGTTTGTGATTAATATCCTTGTACAATGATTTTTTTGTCAATAATGTCTTTACCCACGTGCCATTTTCTAACGTAGCCGATTACAGTCATCATGTGATTCATTATGGAAATAAAGGCAAATATAGGTGACATTCGGGGTTAGGCAAAAGGTGGACAACAAAGTGTATAGTCAGGCGTACATCAACAATTTGAGCGAATAATGAACGATTCAGCGTGCACATCGGTGGAAAGTAGGCAAATCAGCGAGATTTTGAACACATACAGACAAAACGGTGAAATTCGCATTATTTCCCCATGGCAGGCGAAGAAGCAGACATTCTGGGGCGTTTCGCCATCATTCCCCCTTTATTTTCTAACGAAACTACCAGCTATTTCACACTTGTTCGCATATATTTCCATCTTATTATTAAGGACTCTTTTTCTTTTAGGAGTATATGCAAATACAATATTGATATACCTACGGAAGTGATAAAAGATACTTGTCCATGTGTTACGGCAAATATTCGAGAAATAATTAACAATAGTAGCCTAAAACAGCATTTGTGCACAGACGTTTTATCACGATTATTACGTTCTAAAAACAACGTACAATGCAGTGCGCAGTAGTTTGATAAGACATTTAAACGAAATTGAAATGACCCACTTTTCTCAATTATCTGGCTCCGGCCTTGAATACGTAAAGTCCGCCGCCGTT